TTCTGAGGAAACTACTCCAAGCTTGTACTAAAGAGGCACCCTTCTTGAGCCCAGATGGGCACATGTATAAGCAAGTAGATGGGGTCGCCATGGGTTCTCCCCTAGGTGTCCTGTTTGCAAACTTCTACATGGGTACCATCGAGCAAAAAGTCTTAGTCGACATGAACTTGAAACCGGCCATATACTGCAGGTATGTTGACGACATTTTTACACAGGTACCTGATGTCAGACATCTGCAGGAGCTGAAGGAGGCATTTGAGCAGAGTTCCGTGCTGCGTTTCACTTACGAGACGGAAAAGGATGGGAAGCTGCCTTTTCTAGATGTAACAGTCATGGAAAAGGGCGGAGGTTTCCACACTGCAGTCTACACTAAGGAAACAAACATAGGAATGTGCCTAAATGCCAACAGCGACTGCCCCGACAGGTACAAGAGGAGTGTTGTTAACGCATACGTCGACCGTGCTCTCAGCCACAGCTCAGAATGGAAGCAAGTCGACGAAGAACTCTGTAGGGTAAGGCAGGTCCTAGTCAATAACGGCTTCTCCAATGGTTTCATCGAAGACATCATAAGAAGGAAAGTGAAAAGCCATGCAACCTCTGAAGAGACAACTAACACAACACCTATACCCCCTATTAGACTATTTTACAGGAACTTCTTTTCCACAGCTCATAAAACGGAGGAAAGGGTCCTGAAAGATATTGTTAATAGAAACGTTATCCCTACAGACAAAAATCAGAGGATACAACTGACGATTTACTATAAAACCAGAAAAACGGCCAGCCTACTCATGAGAAACTCTCCAGACACAAAACAGAACGCTTTAAAAGAGACTAACGTCGTCTATGCCTTCAAATGCCCACTTGGGGACTGTAAGCTCCAAAAAACCCAGTATATAGGCAAGACAACAACATCTCTTTCTAGGCGTTTAACGATGCATAAGCAACAGGGCTCCATTAAGGAACATATAATCTCTTCCCATAACCAAACCATCGCCAGAGAAATCCTAGTAAACAACACAGAAATCATCGATAGATACAGCGATAGCAGGCGGCTTGACGTTTGCGAGGCACTACACATCAAGAAGTCAACACCAGCAATCAACAGCCAATTATTGCACAACTATATTCTACCCACCTCAAGACTCCGCTCCAATATAGAAGCATCAAGAAATATGGACCAATAGGCTTTCTACAAACACTTCTATTCAATACCCATTGTTTCTGTTCTGTCTTGTGTTGATACTTTTAATACCCTATTAATATCCCCTCCTGTTCTGTCTTGTGTTAATGCCACATCACCCTTCCCACCTCACTCAAATGTAGATATAATATCAGAGAGACGTAAGTTCTAATCAGTTGTGTATTTGTGAAGTCTTTGAAAATGTAATAAGTTTTACGAAACGCGCCCGTGTCGCGTCAGACTTGAAATAAAAATGAATTTTGGAGAAGTGATTTTTGATTTACCTCCAACAGTGAAGCGTAATGTACGAAAGATTGAGAAAATTCGTGTTAGAATTATTAATCTTACTTTTTCGGTCATATTTAATAATATATGTCTACAGGAAAGACTGCTACCAAAATATACTAATATATATATATATATATATATATATATATATAATGTATATATATATGTATAATGTATATATATATATATATATATATATATATATATATATATTTATATATATATATATACATATATATATATATATATATATATATATATATATATATATATATATATATATATATATATATATATATATATATATATATGTCGTACCTAGTAGCCAGAACTCACTTCTCAGCCTACTATGCAAGGCCCGATTTGCCTAATAAGCCAAGTTTTTCTGAATTAATATATTTTCTCTAATTTTTTTCTTATGAAATGATAAAGCTACCCTTTTCATTATGTATGAGGTCAATTTTTTTTATTAGAGTTAAAATTAACGTAGATATTGGACCGAACCTACCTAACCCAACCTAACCTATCTTTATAGGTTAGGTTGGGTTAGGTAGCAGAAAAAGTTAGGTTAGGTTAGGTTAGGTAGGTTAGGTAGTCGAAAAAACATTAATTCATGAAAACTTGGCTTATTAGGCAAATCGGGCTTTGCATAGTAGGCCAAGAAGTGAGTTCTGGCTATTAGGTACGACATATAGACATTATATATATATATATATATATATATATATATATATATATATATATATATATATATATATATATATATATATATATATATATATATATATATATATATATATATATTATATATATATATATATATATATATATATATATATATATATATAATATATATATATATATATATATATGTATAATGTATATATATATATATATATATATTATATATATATATATATATATATATATATATATATATATATATATATATATATATATATATATATATATATATATATATAGCCAGAACGTCGAACTCCGCCTACTTCTAGGCCCGATTTGCCTAGTAAGCCAAGTTTTCCTGAATTTAAATATTTTTCAATATTTTTTCTTATGAAATTATAAATCCATTTTATTTTATATGAATGAATTATTTTTAAATTTGAGTTAAAACTAACGTAGATATATAACCGAACCTAACCAACCCTACCTAATCTAACCTAACCTATTCTAAGACTGGAGTTTTGCTAGGTTCCCAGCCATATTGGTGTGTCCTTAAATGAGCGTGTGGATGCTGCCATTAAGGAAGCTATCCACAATTGTCCCATCTCCCGTAAAGGTGCTCCTTATTCTGACTTCTACTCAGTTATTCATTTCTCAATCCTTGCCCGTTGGCAGGGTCGTTGGTCTTCTGTTACTGGTAACAAACTGCGTGCTCTTAAGGGTAGTGTCCCCATGGCCTTCCTCCTACCTCCGTAACCGGGGGTGGGAAACGGCTCTGGCAAGGTTACATATTGGTCATACACGTTTAACTCACGGGCACTTAAAGAAGCGCCGCCCTGCTCCTTATTGTCCAAACTGCATTGTTCCTGTCATGGACGTGGTTATCCTTGTTGAATGTCTTGTCCTCCTGGACGTGCTTTCATCTTGCTTCCCAACTGTCCTTCGCGGTCACCTGTCCCTATATAACATCCTTGGTGAATCAGACACATTTGATATCATTTGCCTTATGCACTTTTGTTCTTGTATTGGCATCCTAAGTAATATTTAGCCCCTTTTGAATATCCAGCATTTGATGATGCTACATTGTCTCCTCAGCTTGTTGCCATCTTTTGATAATTACTTACTGAAATGAATTACTTATTTCTAAATGAACATTAGAAATATTCAATAAATATTTCCAAAATCAGTGAATAATGATGCATATTTCTAAAATAAGTACAAATAATTGATTTGAATTGATTATTTTCAAACTATTTACAGAGTTAGCTGGCAGCCAGTGCCAAGAATCGTCGTGGGGGTCTAAATGTGACCCAGGATCGCTGTTCTCTTCTTAATTATGGCGACCCCCGACAAGCCTATGTTCATCCCAAACCCCAGACCATTGTCTCTGCCAATTTGGGTGAACCTGACCCCAAACGTCTGGCCTCATACTTGACGACAGACAATGTATCTTCTAGTATAGATAAGGTTGGTACCCAGCGTTGTCCGGGTCTGTCTGTCTCCCATCTGTCCATATATCTATCTATCCATCTACCTCTGCTTAACTATATATATTCATCTACCAATCCATCCATCTATACATTTATCAATCCATCCAGCATCTATACATCTATTCATCTATCAATCCACTCATCTGTGTATCCATCTAGCTATCGATCTTTCTGTCCGTCTACCTAACGGCCTATTTACCACCTATCTATCCAACTGTCTGTCCACCTATCTATCCATCCTCTTAAAAATCTATTTATTCATCTATCCATCCTTCTACCAATCATGTCATCCTTATTTATTTATATATAGAAGAGTTCTTTTACTATTGTACAGCCACCAGCAACCATAGCGTTTCGGGCAGGTCCTTAATCCAATGTTCCCTGGAGTACGACCCACCAAGTCGTTTAACAACCGGGTACCCATTCACTGCTGGGTGAACAGAAGCTACAGTTAAGGACTGGCGCCCAGTCAATCCTCCCCGGCCATGATAGAAACCCAGGGTAGATCGCTCGGCAAGCGCGGGGCGACGGTTTTAACACCGCGCCACGGGGATTTCGATCTATTTATCCATTTATCTACTCACCATCTATGAATAGCTCTATCAATCTATTCATCCTTCTGTCCATCCATCTATTCATCTACCTATCCATCTATCTGTTAATCTGTCCATCACTTAGTCCATCTATCCATATATCTAGCTATAAATTCATACAGCTATCTGTCCATGCATCTGTGCAGCCATTTATCCTTCAATCTATAAATATCCCTCTAGCTTTCTATCTGTTCTTCTATATATTCATCTATTCATAGATCTATCTATCTATCTATCTATCTATCTATCTATCTGTCTGTCTGACTCTGTCTTTCTTTGTCTGTCTCTGTCTGGGAGTTCGAGAGCGAGAGGAGTTCAGTGGTGTGAAATACAAAACAATAATAGTTACTACTTACTGTGCCACAGTGCCGTTGCTTGAGAAACTTCTGACTTTGTGTAAGGATCGTGTGGTTTATGCCAGTGCGGCCAAATTATTGACAGCACAAAATTCTCGTAATTTTCCCAAGATCAGTGAATAATGGTGAATATTACTTTAAGATTTTTTGGAGGACGAAAGGATTTTGTTTTGAAAATATAGATATGTAGATGTCCGCCAGTGCCCAAACCTATAGTGAAAGTGGAGGTGGCGTTAGCACGCTGTTCTCTTTTGACTTATGCGACCCCGACCAGCCTATGTTTATCCCTTAAGCAAGACCATTCCCTCTGCAAATTTAATTTGGGTGACGGTAGCCTCAACCTTGTTTCCGCCAACTTTGAACAGACAGACATTATCTCTTATAGTATAGATGATATAGATACGAACAATAACTTGTGACAATACTTTATTAAACATGAAACTCGAGGACAACAATAAGTGAACGTTAACTAAGATGAACTTCTTCACCGGTTAACTGTTACACATACGAGTGTTTACTCGAGCTATTGTTTACACTAACTAGTGTTTATCACAGCTATTGTTTACACTAACTAGAGGTTATCACAGCTAGTGTTTACACTAACTAGTGTTTATCACAGCTAGTGTTTACACTAACTAGAGGTTATCACAGCTAGTGTTTACACTAACTAGTGTTTATCACAGCTATTGTTTACACTAACTAGTGTTTATCACAGCTAGTGTTTACACTAACTAATGTTTGTCACAACTAATGTTTACACTAACTAGAGTTCACATAAGTGAGTGTTGACACTTGTAAGTGTTGACACAAGTAAGTGTTGTAGTAGAGAGAGGATGTATACATGTGCATGTATGTATTATGAGAGAAAGAGGAAGTATACACCTACGAGAGTGTGAATGTGAGTAATATGTGTGAGGCAGGTATAAATGTGTGTGTGTGTGTATATATATGTGTTGTCTATGACGGTTGCTGTGAAGAGACGTCATCCTTCACTTCTTCAAGCAACACGTCTGAAACTTAAGTTTGCGAGTTGTTCATAATTCCTTGACATCAAAGTTTAGGTCTCTGGTGTTAGGGCTTCCAGTAGACGCCCATGAAGAGTATGGTGTTAGGGCTTCCAGTAGACGCCCATGAAGAGTATGGTGTTAGGGCTTCTTGTAGACGCCCGTGAAGAGTATGGTGTTAGGGCTTCCAGTAGACGCCCATGAAGAGTATGGTGTTAGGGCTTCTTGTAGATGCCCTTGAAGAGTATGGTGTTAGGGCTTCTTGTAGACGCCCATGAAGAGTATGGTGTTAGTGTGGTTGTCCCTGATGAAGAAGACGAAGGGGCGGTCACATCTGAACACTCTGGGTCCAGGGCCACGACCGAGCAAGAGGACTGTGGCAGCAGCAGCCTCGGAGCCTTCCTCGTTCACCTCCACCACGGCCTTGTGGATGACAGCGTCCACACTCAGGTTGGTGCCCCGGACATAGTTGGTGAGATCACTGCGGTTCGAGAACAGGTCTTCGATCCCCAGAGCTTCTAGGGCCTGTCAGGAAGATAGGAAGCGTAGTGAACACTAAGAACATGTCAGACGGGTGGGTGAACACGAAGAACACGTCTGTGAGAAAGGTTGGTGAACACTAAGAACATGTCTGTGAGCAAGTTTGGTGAACACTAAGAACATGTATGTGAGAAAGGTGGGTGAACACGAAGATCATGTCAGAAGGGTGGGTGAACACCAAGAACATGTCTGTAAGAAAGATATGTAGGTCCTTGAATACTAAGAACACGTATGTGAGAAAGATATGTAGGTTCTAAAACACTAAGAACACGTCAGTGAGAAAGATATGTAGGTTCTTGAACACTAAGAACACGTCTGTGAGAAAGGATGGGGGGGTGAATACTAAGAACACGTCTGTGAGAAAGGTTTGTGAACATTCAGTACATGTCTGTGAAAAAGATAAGTAGGTTTTTGAACACTAAGAACACGTCTGTGAGGAAAATGAAAATGTTGTTGAACACTAAGAACTTGTCTGTGAGGAAGATAAGAAAGTTCTTGAACACTAAGTACTTGTCCGTGTGGAAGATAAGAAGGTTGTAAAACACTAAGAACATGTCTGTAAGGAAGAACAGAAGATTGTTGAGCACAAAAAACACGTCTTTGAAGAACATGAGATGATTGTTGAACTCTCAGAAGTGGCTCAAACCAACAGTATGGAGCTGACAACATTTTTCTCTAATACTAATACAAACATTTTTAACACAGTGTGTCACCAATCATGGTAGTCTTGTGTCCACTACACCAACAGTATACCACCACAGTCACCAGTCATGGTAGTGTTGTGTCCACTACACCAACAGTATACCACCACAGTATATCACTAGTCATGGTAGTGTTATGTCCACTACACCAACAGTATACCACCACAGTATATCACCAGTCATGGTAGTGTTGTGTCCACTACACCAACAGTATACCACCACAGTCACCAGTCATGGTAGTCTTGTGTCCACTACACCATCAGTATACCACCAGTTACCAGTCATGGTAGTGTTGTGTCCCCTACACCATCAGTATACCACCAGTTACCAGTCATGGTAGTGTTGTGTCCACTACACCAACTCAGACCCCTCAACCTTTCCCAAGGTTGGGAAAGGATTGTCGGATTGAGGAGAGGATTGTCGAGACAATCGGGATGATAGCCGACAGAGTGTATCGTGATCCGGCCTGTACTCCTCTTGACATACCAGAAAACATCCTAAGGAAACTACTCCAAGCTTGTACTAAAGAGGCACCCTTCTTGAGCCCGGATGGGCACATGTATAAGCAAGTAGATGGGGTCGCCATGGGTTCTCCCCTAGGTGTCCTGTTTGCAAACTTCTACATGGGTACCATCGAGCAAAAAGTCTTAGTCGAAATGAACTTGAAACCGGCCATATACTGCAGGTATGTTGACGACATTTTGACACAGGAACCTGATGTCAGACATCTGCAGGAGCTGAAGGAGGCATTTGAGCAGAGTTCCGTGCTGCGTTTCACTTACGAGATGGGAAGCTGCCCTTTCTAGATGTAACAGTCATGGAAAAGAGCGGAGGTTTCCACACTGCAGTCTACACTAAGGAAACGAACATAGGAATGTGCCTAAATGTCAACAGCGACTGCCCAGACAGGTACAAGAGGAGTGTTGTTAACGCTTATGTCGACCGTGCTCTCAGCCACAGCTCAGAATGGAAGCAAGTCGACGAAGAACTCTGTAGGGTAAGGCAGGTCCTAGTCAACAACGGCTTCTCCAATGGTTTCGTGGAAGACATCATAAGAAGGAAAGTGAAACGCCATGCAACCTCTGAAGAGACAACTAACACAACACCTATACCCCCTATTTGACTATTTTACAGGAACTTCTTTTCCACAGCTCATAAAACGGAGGAAAGGGTCCTGAAAGATACTGTTAGTAGAAACGTTATCCCTGCAGACAAAAATCAGAGGATACAACTGACGATTTACTATAAAACCAGAAACACGGCCAGCCTACTCATGAGAAACTCTCCAGACACAAAGCAGAACGCTTTAAAAGAGACCAACGTCGTCTATGCCTTCAAATGCCCTCTTGGGGACTGTATAAGCTCCAAAAAACCCAGTATATAGGCAAGACAACAACATCTCTTTCTAGGCGTTTAACGATGCATAAGCAACAGGGCTCCATTAAGGAACATATAATCTCTTCCCACAACCAAACCATCGCCAGAGAAATCCTAGTAAACAACACAGAAATCATCGATAGATACAGCGATAGCAGGCGGCTTGACGTCTGCGAGGCTCTACACATCAAGAAGTCAACACCAGCAATCAACAGCCAATTAATGCACAACTATATTCTACCCACCTCAAGACTCCGCTCCAATATAGAAGCATCAAGAAATATGGACCAATAGGCTTTCTACAAATCACTTCCATTCAAATACCCATTGTTTTGTGTTCTGTCTTGTGTTTAGGAATTTAATACCCTATTAATACAACCTCACCCCATCCACCTCACTCAAATGTAGATAAACAAATCGAAGATGTGTAAGTTCTATTCAGTTGTGTATGTGTAAGCTAAAGTCTTTGAAAATGTAATAAGTTTTACGAAACGCACTTAAGTGTCGCGTCAGACTAGAAATAAAAATGAATTTTGGAGAATTGATTTTTGAATTACCACCAACAGTGAAAAGAAACTTACGAAAGATCGAGAAAATTCGTGTTAGAATTATTAATCTTACTTTTTCGGTCATATTTTATAATATATATATATATATATATATATATATATATATATATATATATATATATATATATATATATATATATATATATATATATATATTATATAATATGACCGAAAAAGTAAGATTAATAATTCTAACACGAATTTTCTCAATCATTCGTACATTTCTTTTCACTGTTGGAGGTAAATCAAAATCAATTCTCCAAAATTCATTTTTATTTCTAGTCTGACGCGACACGAGCGCGTTTCGTAAAACTTATTACATTTTCAAAGACTTTAGTTCACAAATACACAACTGAATAGAACTTACGCATCTCCGATTTTATATCTACATTTGAGTGAGGTGGAAGGGGTGATGTGGCATTAACACAAGACAGAACAAGATGTGGCATTAATAGGGTATTAATTTCATCAACACAAGACAGAACAAGAAGTGGTATTAATAGGGTATTAATTTCATCAACACAAGACAGAACACGAAACAATGGATATTGAATAGAAGTGTTTGTAGAAAGCCTATTGGTCCATATTTCTTGATGCTTCTATATTGGAGCGGTGTCTTGAGGTGGGTAGAATATAGTTGTGCAATAATTGGCTGTTGATTGCTGGTGTTGACTTCTTGATGTGTAGTGCCTCGCAAACGTCAAGCCGCCTGCTATCGCTGTATCTATCGATGATTTCTGTGTTGTTTACTAGGATTTCTCTGGCGATGGTTTGGTTGTGGGAAGAGATTATATGTTCCTTAATGGAGCCCTGTTGCTTATGCATCATTAAACGCCTAGAAAGAGATGTTGTTGTCTTGCCTATATACTGGGTTTTTTGGAGCTTACAGTCCCCAAGAGGGCATTTGAAGGCATAGACGACGTTAGTCTCTTTTAAAGCGTTCTGTTTTGTGTCTGGAGACTTTCTCATGAGTAGGCTGGCCGTTTTTCTGGTTTTATAGTAAATCGTCAGTTGTATTCTCTGATTTTTGTCTGTAGGGATAACGTTTCTATTAACAATATCTTTCAGGACCCTTTCCTCCGTTTTATGAGCTGTGGAAAAGAAGTTCCTGTAAAATAGTCTAATAGGGGGTATAGGTGTTGTGTTAGTTGTCTCTTCAGAGGTTGCATGGCTTTTCACTTTCCTTCTTATGATGTCTTCGACGAAACCATTGGAGAAGCCGTTATTGACTAGGACCTGCCTTACCCTACAGAGTTCTTCGTCGACTTGCTTCCATTCTGAGCTGTGGCTGAGAGCACGGTCGACATATGCGTTAACAACACTCCTCTTGTACCTGTCTGGGCAGTCGCTGTTGGCATTTAGGCACATTCCTATGTTTGTTTCCTTAGTGTAGACTGCAGTGTGGAAACCTCCGCCCTTTTCCATGACTGTTACATCTAGAAAGGGCAGCTTCCCATCCTTTTCCATCTCGTAAGTGAAACGCAGCACGGAACTCTGCTCAAATGCCTCCTTCAGCTCCTGCAGATGTCTGACATCAGGTACCTGTGTAAAAATGTCGTCAACATACCTGCAGTATATGGCCGGTTTCAAGTTCATGTCGACTAAGACTAAGACCATCGAGCAAAAAGTCTTAGTCGACATGAACTTGAAACCGGCCATATACTGCAGGTATGTTGACGACATTTTTACACAGGTACCTGATGTCAGACATCTGCAGGAGCTAAAGGAGGCATTTGAGCAGAGTTCCGTGCTGCGTTTCACTTACGAGATGGAAAAGGATGGGAAGCTGCCCTTTCTAGATGTAACAGTCATGGAAAAGGGCGGAGGTTTCCACACTGCAGTCTACACTAAGGAAACAAACATAGGAATGTGCCTAAATGCCAACAGCGACTGCCCAGACAGGTACAAGAGGAGTGTTGTTAACGCATATGTCGACCGTGCTCTCAGCCACAGCTCAGAATGGAAGCAAGTCGACGAAGAACTCTGTAGGGTAAGGCAGGTCCTAGTCAATAACGGCTTCTCCAATGGTTTCGTCGAAGACATCATAAGAAGGAAAGTGAAAAGCCATGCAACCTCTGAAGAGACAACTAACACAACACCTATACCCCCTATTAGACTATTTTACAGGAACTTCTTTTCCACAGCTCATAAAACGGAGGAGAGGGTCCTGAAAGATATTGTTAATAGGAACGTTATCCCTACAGACAAAAATCAGAGAATACAACTGACGATTTACTATAAAACCAGAAAAACGGCCAGCCTACTCATGAGAAAGTCTCCAGACACAAAACAGAACGCTTTAAAAGAGACTAACGTCGTCTATGCCTTCAAATGCCCT